TTCCATGATTTCAAACATTGAGACATCCCACCCAAATACAGTTTCGGGGAATTTGACAATTCAATGACAATGACAATTCTAAAAACTATCATTTCAGTTTTATTTTCATTGAAAATTAAAAAATGTAATGAAAGCCAAGCCTTCACATCTGCCAAATATGCCATAAGAGACTCAAGACCCACAGAATTGTGTTTGACAGGCAAATAAACCTGGGTGTCATCCGCATAACAGTGAAATGACAAACCATGTTTTCTAAAAATCGAGCCAAGCGGGAGCATATAGAGAGAAAAAAGCAAAGGAGCCAAAATAGAACCCTGGGGAACCCCACAGGGCAAAAAAGCATAACTTGAGTAATGTTCACCCATCTTGACTGAAAAACTTCTATTTGCAAAATACGATTTAAACCAATCTAGAGCGACACCTCTTAAACCAACGCAATGTTCTAAACGATCGATGAGAACAGCATGATCGACTGTATCGAAAGCGGCCGTCAAATTAAAATATCATTAAGAACCTTCAAAAGTGCAGTCTCGGTAGAATGGCATTTACGAAAACCTGACTGAAATGTTTCAAACATTGAATTATCAGCTAAAAAACTTTGTAACTGTGAAAACACAATTTTTTCCAGAATCTTGGAGATAAAAGGCAGATTATTAATGGGCCTAAAGTTTGTTAAAACTGATGAGTCTAGATTCAGTTTTTTGAGCAGTGGGTAAACTACTGCTTGCCCAAGTCTTCGCCAACTCTCTGATCGCTTTTTAATACATATTTTAGTTCAATGAATTATCTATCCAGGTACATTTAAAAATGTGTCTTATTTCTCTACGTTTTCACCTTTTGTCTGCACTGAGACAGGGTTTTGCTTCAGCGAAAACAGAACTTTGATGCTAGATGCTATCCCAAGTAGATACATTTGCAAATGCCGTTATCACGTTGTAGTGTGGACTGTGAAAACTGAGGTATTTAAAAATTGATGCATATGATGCATATTGACAATGACAATTTATTTATATAGCACAATTAATTACAACTTCTGTCGACCAATGTGCTTAAGTCATCAAAAACAGAAAAACACGCAACAAACAGAAAAGTTATAATATCATGCAAATATCCCATCAGCCATACGCTTTAGAAAATAAAAATCTCTTTAGCCTGGACTTAAAAATATTAAGAGAAGAAGCTTGTCTAATGGATAGTGGCAAGACATTCCAAAGCCTGGGGGCGGCAATACAGAAAGCATGATCTCCCCCGCACTTAAGCCTCGACTTAGGGGTAAACAATAGACCCTGGTTGTAAGACCTAAGGGATCTAGTGGATTGATACTCAGTCAATAACTCACAGAGATAAGTAGGGGCCAAACCATTTAGAGATTTATAAACGAGGAGCATAATTTTAAAATCTACTAATCCTCTAAAACGAACAGGCAACCAATGTAGTGAGCGTAAAATAGGAATAATATGCTCCCTCTTTTTAACCCCACTCAAGAGTCAAGCCGCAGCATTTTGAACAAGCTGCAAACGGGATAAAGCTGTCTGGCTAATCCCAAAATAAAGTGAGTTACAATAGTCCAGCCTAGATAAAATTAAAATGTGAATTACTTTTTAAAAATCTTTAAAAGAAAGAAAAGGCTTTGTTTTAGAAAGCAAACGCAGCTGAAAAAAGCAAGCTTTGACAACTGAATTTATTTGACAGTCAAACTTTAAGCCATCATCAAAAATTAAGCCCAGGTTTTTTCCATGATTTCAAACATTGAGACATCCCACCCAAATACAGTTTCGGGGAATTTGACAATTCAATGACAATGACAATTCTAAAAACTATCATTTCAGTTTTATTTTCATTGAAAATTAAAAAATGTAATGAAAGCCAAGCCTTCACATCTGCCAAATATGCCATAAGAGACTCAAGACCCACAGAATTGTGTTTGACAGGCAAATAAACCTGGGTGTCATCCGCATAACAGTGAAATGACAAACCATGTTTTCTAAAAATCGAGCCAAGCGGGAGCATATAGAGAGAAAAAAGCAAAGGAGCCAAAATAGAACCCTGGGGAACCCCACAGGGCAAAAAAGCATAACTTGAGTAATGTTCACCCATCTTGACTGAAAAACTTCTATTTGCAAAATACGATTTTGACAAATCATGTTTTCTAAAAATCGAGCCAAGAGGGAGCATATAGAGAGAAAAGAGCAAAGGAGCCAAAATAGAACCCTGGGGAACCCCACAGGGCAAAAAAGCATAACTTGAGTAATGTTCACCCATCTTGACTGAAAAACTTCTATTTGCAAAATACGATTTAAACCAATCTAGAGCGACACCTCTTAAACCAACGCAATGTTCTAAACGATCGATGAGAACAGCATGATCGACTGTATCGAAAGCGGCCGTCAAATCTAAGAGCACAAGAACTGCAAAATCACCCGAATCACATGATATTAAAATATCATTAAGAACCTTCAAAAGTGCAGTCTCGGTAGAATGGCATTTACGAAAACCTGACTGAAATGTTTCAAACATTGAATTATCAGCTAAAAAACTTTGTAACTGTGAAAACACAATTTTTTCCAGAATCTTGGAGATAAAAGGCAGATTATTAATGGGCCTAAAGTTTGTTAAAACTGATTCAGTTTTTTTAGCAGTGGGTAAACTACTGCATGCTTTAAACAGTCAGGCATAATGCCAGATTCTAAACTGCGATTAATGATGGCCAAAAGATACAGAGCAATGTCATTAATAACTTGTTTAAATAAAAAGGGAGGAAGAATATCCAAAGACGAGGCTGAAGGCTTAAGTTGCTCAGCAAATCTGGAAGTGAGACTAGTTTAAACCGACTAAAAAAGGTAGTGGCGATGGAGGGATTAGACGGATTAAAAGATGAGGGAGTTATCCCTAGCTGGAGAGCCCTAATTTTACTATCACAAAATAATACAAATTCTTCACACGATGGAGAAGAAACCCCAGGAAAAAGACAGGCCGACGGGTTGAGAGTAGCATTAATGTTCAAGAGAGTCTTTTGGTCTTTCTGATATTTAAAAAGAGAGTCCTTTAAAATCTCAAAAGAAACATGAAGCCTGTCCTTTTTCCACTTTCGTTCCGCTCTTCTACAACATCGTTTGAGAGAACGAATAGAATCATCAATCCAGGGTTCAGAACGGGTTCATATTGTACCTATATATATATATATATATATATATATGGTTGTACCAGCATTGTTGTGCCTACTATTCACTTTCATAGTGTTGTTCAATATAGATGTTACTGTGTAAGATCTTTTTGCAAAGATTGCAAAACATTTACTCAAAATTGCCATCCTGCCAACTACACTTTTGACAAGGTGGCTAATTCATACAAATTCGTACAACCTCATTTAAACAAATTCATATGATTTGTGAAAAATCTTTGTAAGAAATTTTTTTTTGTCGGAATTTGTAAGAAGGATCATACCTAACCCCGCCCCTAAATGTAACCATCACAGAAATCATACAAAATCGTACGAGCAAGGTTGTATGAATTAGCCACCTCGTAAAATATGTTTTGTTTCACAAAACATACAAATTGGCCATGATATAGCATTGGTCCTGTGGCAAAAAAATTGGACAGTTGCCTTTTAGACCAAACTTGGATGCAGCAGTGAGTGGAAGGATATTTTGCTAATAAAATTATCTACCTGCGAAAATGATTTCTCACATTTTCAGACGTGTCAGTGTGGACGAGCAAATTTCGGAAAATGCTTAAAAAACGGTGAGTGAAGAGGGTTTTCAAACAAATACGGCATTTTCAAATTTTAAAATGTGGCTGTAGATTTAACTAATTATTTGATTTATTTAAAAAAAAATAACAAAAAATGCAAACATTTAAATGTTTACTTAGCTAATAAATTTGTATCTATTAAAAGAGTTATATATTCTATATTACCTGTAGAGATCTATCCAATAGCTTTTCCATTAATTTCAATGGTAGTTGCATCACCAGGATGCTGCCATCTTTACTCATGGACACTGCTGCTTAAAAACGAATGTACTTAGACGGAATACACTGCTACATTTTAATGGCATCAATGCAGAAAGAGGGTTTTGCCTGAAAATATGGGAAAAAGGTCAAACTAATCATGTTTAACATTTTCGGGCAAGTACACAGCTCATTGGTCGATAGAAATCAACAACTGCATTGGTCATGAATTCAAATATCGCTTAACTCAACATGTTTTAAAATAAACAAATTACAATAGAATCTCTTTTCCAGTAGACATGTATCTTGTGACACATGTGAACAGGACTGCAATACTCAAGATTTTTTACTGGTAAAGAGAGTGAAATGCCCTCAGATATCAGGAGCAGGATGATAAGAAATCAGATTAGTATGGTAGGGCATGAAAAAGATATTGCATTGGAGCATAAAAAAAAAAAATCAAAACTGGAATCTTAGCCGAGCATAAAGGACGATTCGTATGTGAAAACCAGTTGGACCATTGCTTCAGAAAAGACACAAAAGCCACATCGTTCAGTACTTTTAGTGTTTATTTCTACAATGTTTCTCCAGAGCAATGTTGATTCATGCAAATATTTCTGGAAAACACAACACATTAAAATGTCTGTTTTGTTTTTGTCCTTTTAACAAAAAACTTTTCACATTTGACTTGTTTTCTTCATACATTTTGCAGGGTTAAAATGTCTTTCAGCTTCTTCATGGTTATTGTCTGTGAGCACATCAATATGTTTTGCAATGCCCCATCACTGTTGGCCCGGCCATATAAGTTACATATTCTGCACATGAAGAATTAAATAACTTTTTTTTTTGTCCTTTCACATTGTCCTTTTTGACTCCACTGAAACTTTATGAAAAGTTATGCAAACTTGTGCTAATTTAAAATATTACTACACAATAATTGGCACAATTCTAAAAAGTAGCACAGATACCATCTCCTTACATTGGTTTTCTGTTATACCCATGCATAATGCCCTTTCAAACATCGTCGACACTTTTATTTTTGCATGAGTACATAATGTGGTATCGTTCTTTACTGTATTAATATATGAACACACAGTGGCTGAATGATTTTTGAAGTGTGTTTCTGGTAGCCATCATGTCTAAATCACTCTTGCATTTTGTGGTACACCCACAGCCCTGTAAAGAACTGTTTCTGAATGCAAGAAGGGCTGTATATGGATTGCATCTATATGTTACTTAAGAAAAAAAGAGTTTTTCAATCTACCATTCAAACCTCCCTAACAGTCTTCTGAAATCAAGTGATGTTTTCTTGCCAGTTTCGGTTTAATAGTGAGCAAACTGAGATTTGACAGTGCAGATTCTCAGCCAATTATAATTTAACATTGTAATGCTACAACATTAAATGAATAACAAAAAGGTCAAGACCAAAATGAATAATACAACACACAACACACTTATAAAGCTTCCAAAGTCATATCCACTGACCACAGGGTTGCACAAGCGCAAAACAATACCAACACAGTTCCTACTGTTCTTCTGAAACCACGTAAGTCTCCACATGAAATGTTTTTTGCTGTTTTTTCCCTCATGTTCCAAATCAGTTTTTTTTTTAAATCTTTTTTGACTTAATCACTTATGCACAAAACAAAATCAACATATTGCTTCATATTTTCGCAGAGTTTTTTTCTATTCTTCTAAAGTTGCTTTCGTTTTGGTCTAATTATACGTGGAAAACGTGGTTGAGACACAATCTGCAGACTCTGGTGATTGTCTTACAGATTCCCTCGGAGATACTCATCATCAGGAAGAGTTTCAAGCTGTCTGCTCTTCTTGGGATGCTGAGCATTTGTACGTCAGCTACCAACGTTTCTGACGCGTTTGCTTCACAAGGACTTGAGTCCTTATTGTCATCTAGTCATCCCAAATATATGTGCAAGGTTGGTCAATGCCAGTGACCTGTCTACACGCATATTTCAATCGGTGTCGTGACTAGGATTCGACCATTGTTGCCGTTGTTATCACGGGAGATGCGCTCATAGCCACCAGTGGAGGAAGCAGGGCTGTTCGAGGATGTAGAGGAGTAGTGCGCCGTCACTGGCTCCATGACGATGCCTCCTTTAGCTACTCCACATACAGGCGACAAGCTCTGCTGCTTCAAACGGTCCACCAACTCATCTTCTTCAGAGGAAGAAGAGCTAAGCTCAGCCTGACGGCCATTCATCACTGTGCCGTTGTTGCCGTTACCGCCCGAGACATGGGTGGTGTTGCCGTTCTCAGTGTCGAGCATCCAGCAGTGGTTGAAGTAGCTGAAGACCTCTTTGACAGAGCATCGGTGGTCCTGCTCGATGGCCAGCAGGCAGCGGAACATGCGGAGCGCCTCGTCAGTGAAACGGCGCCACTGTGAAGGCACCGCGCTGGCTCGCCTCCGCCGATGCTGCCAGCGCACAAACTCCTCGTAGAAGGCGTCAGTCGGGAGTGCTTTTTCCCAGGGGAAATTCCCAGTGAGCATGCAGAACAGAAGTACACCGAAAGCCCACACATCAGTGCTGTAGTCTACACACAGGCCCTCTTGCCGGCTGGGGTCGCACAGTTCTGGAGCCGTGTACGGGATGGTTCCACTCACCCGCTTCACTGGAGAGCCAGCGCACCGCGTCATGCCAAAGTCTGACAGTTTCACCTTCCGGCACTCCTTGTCAAAGATGAGGACGTTCTCCGGCTTTATGTCACGATGCACCAGCTTCTTGCAGTGCAGGTAATCCAGTGCTATCGCCACCTGGTGCACACACCGCTTGGCAACGTTCTCCGGCAGTCCAACCTACGCACAGGAGAGCGGAAAGAATACGTAATTAGACGCTACGACGAAATGCCATGTGGTTACATAATGGGTGCTATCGTAATTCTCACAGACAGTAAAATCTGAAGCATGATGAGCCCCCGCAACAGAAAACCTGATCACCATAAAATAAAGGCTTTCTGCAATGCAGCAACAAGTTTGCAGGGAACATAAAGTCCTCAGTTATTTCCGTGTGATGAACACTGTGCACATCCTCAACTGAATACGCTGCTCCTCTCAGGCAATCACTGAATGGAACAGATTTAGTGAGAGGTGTGTCTGTGGTGGGAAAGCAAGACCTCAGGCTTCTGGAACAGTACTGGCGAGTTTTGGAAACCAGATAAGGTTAAGCACTGTAGCAAATACCTAGCAATACCCAGGCTCACTGGAAATGCGTGCCTCTGCCTACGTTTCTGCAAAATTAAAAAAACGGACATTTATGAAACGTACATGTATTTCCAGTTGAAATGAACACTAGAGGCAGAAAACTCTGACAACTTTTATTGCCTAATTTTCACACAATTCCCTGCACAATATTATTTTATGACTTCAAAATATTCTAATATGCTGCAAGATTTGAAAAGTAATACTTTTGAACATTAGTGTCACATACACAGCTTCATATGTATGGGTTTTATAATGCAGTAGGTTTGCTCGGTGGCTTACGTGATATGGTGTTGCACTTGTGAGGTGAAGCACTCCAGTGAAACTTCGAATTGGCAAAACAGCTCAAACCCGTGCAGAAGGAAGTTAAAATAATCAGCGAATTAGTTTTTAAATCACTTTCACTTTTGTTGGCAGTATCGGGTAGGTTTAGGTTTGGATTTGGTGTAGGGGGGGGGTGTGATATTTTCCGAAAAAATTCTGAACTGCCGCAATACGTGCCTACATAATAAAAACATGTCCACAATTGTATGCGCATTTTAGTGCCACTCACTAGACATTTCACTCTGAAACTGCTGCGTAACGTGTAATAAGTTACGTAATATTGTGTTGCAGAAACTCCGACCACCCAGAACAACCAACAGAATCATAATAGAGAGTTTTATATCCCGTTACACAGCTTAAGTTTTCTTTAAAAGTGCATTTTTTTATTACAATGTTACAACCTAGTTTTCAATTTAGATGAGAATCATTTTAATGTTTTCTTTTAGGACTCAAACAACTGCATAAGCATATGTGCAAAGTAGCACAGTATGAATATATATCTGTTAAGTAGAGATTTGAGTTCTTGTTGTCTCACCTGGGGAGGAATGATGTCAAAGAGATCGCCTGCCAGTGCATACTCTTGAGCGAAGATGTAGTATTCGTCAGTTTCGAAGGCAATGCCATACATGTTGATGATGAAAGGACAGGGTGACAGGTAGAGAGAGATGCTGTACTCGCGTAGGAAACTCTTCAGTTTAGTGGTTTTCTTCCGCAAGAATTTCAAGGCCATTTTCGTGCCTGGAGATAAAAAGAGATAGGTAGAGGTTAACATTTCTTGGCTTTTAATGCATTCCTGATTATTCTGTCGCTGACACAGAGCTAATGGCCTACTTGCAAGATCGGAACATGCTCTTTTAAATGTCACACCAAAACAATGTCAGGTCATGTATTAATGTGGGAAATCAATTTACAAGGGAACGGCTCTTTTCGACTAATACATTCTAAAGCAAGTTTGAAAGGTTCAAGAAAACCTGAAGCAAGTTCCACTATTTTCTGTTGTTTCCAGAGGCGGACAAAGTACACAACTCCATTACTTGAGTGAAAGTACAGATACTGCTGGTCAAATATTACTCCATTACAAGTAAAACTAGTCAGTGTTCAAAAAATGCAGGGAAATCACTTCATGTAGCCCTACAAGAGTGATTACTGATAAACTGTCTGAAAAAAGAAAGTCACGTTTTAGAGAAGAAAAAATCACCTACTGACTTTCAAAGCTGCTACAGAGTAACGACTTTCTACTTTGAGGATCTTGATAGAAATGTAGTGGAGTGAAAAGTACAATATTTGTCTTTCAAATGTAGTGAAGTTAAAGTCATAAGTTCCCAGAAAACATAATACTCAAGTAAAGTACAGATACTCAAAAAGTGTACTTAAGTACAATACTCAAGTAAATGTACTTAGTTACTGTCCGCCTCTGGTTGTTTCTGCCTTAATGTTTTTTGCTTATTGAAAGTATTTGGCCATGAAAGTATGCAAATGCTTCTAGCTACACAAGTTTGATTAATTGCATTGTTCAACTGCAGTAAACTCATTCTATTATGTAGCGTCATTAATCCCCCCAGCACTCCTTTCAGTAAAACTTTTTATTGCATTAGTGGTCAACGTTGGTCCTGGAGAGCCACAGTCCTGCAGAGTTTTGCTTCAACCTTGATAAAAACTCACCTGCCTGTAGCTTTCTGGTAACCCTTAGACCAGAGGTCCTCAACTCTTGACCTCAAGATCCACTTTCCTGCAGAGTTTAGCCCCAACCCTAATCAAACACACCTGAACAAGCTAATCAGGGTCTTCAGGATTGCTACAAAGTTGCAGGTAGGTGTGTTTAATCCAGGTTGGAGCTAATCTCTGCAGGAAAGTGGATCTCATAGGTCCAGAGTTGAGGACCCCTGCCTTAGACTTTGATTAGCTGGTTCAGGTGAGTTTGATTAGGGTTGGAGTGAAACTCTGCAGGACTGTGGCTCTGGACCGATGTTGTCCACCCCTGCATTAGTGCATCAAATGACTTCCATCAGTAGAATCAGGAGGGTGTCCCAACCACAGCCCGTCAATAAACAGAATCATGTTTAAAAGGTACTAGGTGCATCTAGGGAAGAACTTAGATATCCATGTGCAGAGATGTGTATTCCACTTTCTGTCTGTAAAACAATCAGTACTTTTAGATTTTGAATTTCCATCAATTTCTCCAGTGATTTCTGAACATCCATTCACAGAGACTGTCGTGGCACATTTTGTTTACTGGCAGTCTATTACTGAGGCATCATCTTTCAGATTTACTCACCCCTAAATGACACAAACTGTGATTGTCGTTCACATTGTCTCGTCAACATCTTGAACAAAAAGACATTTTGAAGAGATTTTGCCTGAGAGTCACTACTGAGGTCTTTTGCATAACACACTGCAGAGGGTTAGCAGCTGCTGAGCAATTGAAAGGAAGGTCAAATGGCAAGAGGAACCCCCGCCCCCAACTTTGTTATTACATAACACAACAGATAGCAGAAGCTGTGTAGCTACGCTAAAGGCCTTCACAAAGGACCTTCATTATAAGCACAGCCGACAGTTGCACTTGCTCAGGCAGATGGGGCAATCTGGGACTGCAGTAGGTGGAACCTTATGGGGAACCGTGAGCACAGAATGCAATCTCAACTTTACATACGTATACATTTCTTCTAGAATGCTGGTATGCTACAGAGTAGTTCTCTGTGAAATTAAAGATACCACATTCTTCCCTTTGTTGACATATTTCCTATATATACATATATCAAAGGGTTGTACTTTTTTACATAGCCAAAAGGCTTTTCAATTAATCAGAACCTAGTAAATCATGATTTTATAAATAATAATTGGTTGCGGTTGGAACTTTTAGTTTACTTAATAGGGCTAGGTGTTACAATCCCTAACAATTCAGGGTTACAGTTTATTTTAAGGTGTCCTTGTTACAGTCTAATTAAACATTTAAGTACTGAGTAAAAATGTATTAACTACATATGCCTACTGTATGGTTAGGGTTAGGGTTTGGCTTAGTGTTACTTGCATGTAATTATGGATAATTTATTGTTATTGTAATAGTAAGTACATGGGTAGCAAGCACACCTTAAAATAAAGTGTTACCCAATTCACAACACAACTAGCCTTGACTATGTTGACGAAGATAAGTCTACTTAGGTGGGCACTCCTGGGGAAAAAACACAACAATTTTCCAGCTCTACAACAATTAACACCACAGCCGCCAAGGAGAAAAAAGAGGAAAAGCCAAAACCAGATCTTCACACCAGTGTGACACATCATCAGTTGTGTACCACTTTGTGGAAAGTGTTATTTAACACCACTTTAACGCAGACTTTCAACTTGGGAAATTGTGCAGAAATCCACAACTCTCATTTCACCAAGTTGCATGTGTATGACATCAGTTAATGATAAATATTCACTTTTAAGCTAATGAAATGCACCAATGAGTCAAAGTTCCTACATTGCATTATAATATAACCTGTTCAGCAAACGTTTGCATGAACTGCTGTGTAAACCACGGTAAATGATCCTCTCTGCTGATAACAGTACACCTGCTGAACAAATGCATCGTTTATCCTCTGCAGTTTTGTTGCTAGGAGATGTCCGTGTTAGCGATAGCAAAGACATGTGTAGTTTCTTTACATGCATCGGGCAACAGAACATTGTAATGGTCACAAGTCAGACGTAGGAGTATCCCACATTTGGATGAAATGCAGTATTAAAGAGTGGGGTCATTCTCATTTATAGAGAATAGAAGCGGTATACGACCCTGAGCAGTGGATACTGTGTTCTATATTTTCTGGAAGAGACAAACTGTACATTTTAAATGTAAATAAATGCTAAAAGTTCATTTTGGCAACTTTTAAGATTACACTGGCATATAGATTGAAACATCTGCTGTGATTGTGACCTCCGGGTTTCAGCATTTAATTACAGTCTGAGTAGTCCCACAGACATTATGAAACCGTCAAGATCAGAGGAACGCTTAAAGCAAAATACAAATGGAAAACGGCAAACACAAATTCAATTTACTCCTCTAGTGATATCCTAGCTGGTAAACACATTCTTCCTCTGAGGGGCATCCCATAATATACAGTACATGCAATAACTGTCAGGTATTGGAGCAGATATCCTGAAATGTAAATGTTATGACAGCACACGAGTTGTGCTGAGGCCAGCAGGATTGTGGATTCCTGGAACTGCCCCCACAGTGCACTGCAGCATCCATCCTCTTAGTATGGCCGGTAATTCTGTGAATAATAAATGAGGTGTAGATGGATGGGGATTTTGGATGCTGACAGATGGTGTGTTTTGCATCTCTTTGAAATCTGGAGGATACACAAGCCAAACGGGGCACTTTAGAGGCTGGAGAGCATCACTACACGTCCAAGAAGAAATGTAAACATGATGTGTTGATCGGAACTTGTGGACATCTTGAAAAGAGGCTGAAAATGTAACTGGGAGAAGGCTGTTTTTTTAGGTATGCCTTCATGATCGTCACCATCGTTCAGTATGTTGTCTTTCAGAATAGGCTGCTGGTTTTCCAACAAGGTTTCTTGATTAGCAAAACCAGCAAGACTTACTTGGTCATCCATCAGCACTGGTTGACTAGATTCATCAGCTATTTTTTCATGGGAGAAGTAAGTAAGGCTATTGAGTTTTATTCCATCCCAGCAGGTCTTTGTGTTGTACTTTTGGTTCTTGAACTGCAGTTTTGTGTGTGTGTGTGTGTGTTAGCAAACCATTAATACTAGCGGCATCTGTTTACAGCTGAAGCTACGGCAAGTTTCACTGTGTTATTGAAGAATTTGTCCCTTTGGAGATGCCATCAAAATGCTACATAGAGAATGGCACTTGCGTTTGTCTGCTGAACCATACTGGAGTTCATACGAACTGCATGCCAGACCACCTATTCAGCAGACTCGGGTTCATGAAACCATTTTTGCACTATAAACGAACTAAACTTCCAATGTCAGATGGACTCGTGTCCACTTCAAAAGCTCTAGTGTGAAAGCACACGTAATAGCTGTGAGCTGCAGTAATCGTTTGATCTACAGGATCTTGAAAACATGACAGATGACTGATAAATAATGCATTAATCCACAGGACGGAGAGAAATGTGTGCCTGTGTGTGTTTGTATGTGTAGGTGGTTTTCGTTTTTGTGTACAAACATTCTTAGTCAGCTTGAATGGGAAAATTCTCTCTTTCATATACCAATTGTTTGTCCTACACATCAATTAATATTTAGGTGAAAGATATTAAATAATCAGAGTCAAGAAATATATATATAATGTTTAAATAACATACAACTCTATCAAAGAGACCTAGTCAGGGTATGCACCACATTGAATTTTACATGGATGAAAACGAGGTTGAGGGACAGACTTATCAGTCTTTAAAATAGCATATATATATATATATATATATATATATATATATATATATATATATATATATACACCTATTCAGCAGACTCGGGTTCATGAAACCATTTTTGCACTATAAACGAACTAAACTTCCAATGTCAGATGGACTCGTGTCCACTTCAAAAGCTCTAGTGTGAAAGCACACGTAATAGCTGTGAGCTGCAGTAATCGTTTGATCTACAGGATCTTGAAAACATGACAGATGACTGATAAATAATGCATTAATCCACAGGACGGAGAGAAATGTGTGCCTGTGTGTGTTTGTATGTGTAGGTGGTTTTCGTTTTTGTGTACAAACATTCTTTGTCAGCTTGAATGGGAAAATTCTCTCTTTCATATACCAATTGTTTGTCCTACACATCAATTAATATTTAGGTGAAAGATATGAAATAATCAGAGTCAAGATATATATATAATGTTTAAATAACATACAACTCTATCAAAGAGACCTAGTCAGGGTATGCACCACATTGAATTTTACATGGATGAAAACGAGGTTGAGGGACAGACTAATCAGTCTTTAAAATAGCATATATATATATATATATATATATATATATATACACTATATAAAGGTTGCATGTAATTTTCTAAACTTTTAATGGAGTTTTTGTCTACTGAAAGTGGTTTAGAAAGATGTTTCATCAGCTGAACAATTGGCATGTTGTTGAACACCCAATCAGCCTTGGTTTCATTGCTGTCAAAATGTATTCAATGCTACCCGACTAAGGCCTGTAAGCCAAGCCATCCTGTCCATCTCCTTCAACCTACCTCTGTTCTTGTGGATGACCAGGTCCACCTTGCCATAGGTGCCCTTGCCAAGCTCCCTAATGACCTCATAGTATTTATTAAAGTCCAGCTTCTCCAGGTTCTCAGCAGTGATGAGCTGCAGCTCTTCCAGGACGTCAATGGAGGAACGGGACATGTGGGGCGAGGAGCTCATTATTCCAGAGATGGAGGGACCAGTTTCCACGAGAACAGTGTTGATTTAGAAATCTAAAGGTAGGAAAGTGGAAAAGAAGGGTAGATTGTTGAAGTACATGATACAACACTCTAAAATAATCTATTTCACACCTTTGGAACATGATTGCATTGGACACACACTTTATCGCTGACATCAAAGTTACAGAGATTGCGGGGCTTCCTAAACAAGTCCTTATATAACCTCGTGCATCCTGCAGTTCACTGATCTTCTTTCTGTTGTGTGGAGGCTCTTTCATGTGTACGACATCACAGGCTGTATCCGAAATGAGAACGTATGAGAGGAACTGAGCAGAACAAAAGATCAGAGCACACAGACCCTGACCGATCCCCTTTGTAAATCTAAAATCGCATTGTTCCATAGGGCTATTTACTTCCGCACCACGAAACCTCTCCAAAAGCAGCCTGTTGCATAACGCCATACTTCATCGTTTTTGGCAAACATGCACTATATGGCTTCAACAAATGAGCTGAATACAAGAGAAGTGTAAGAACAAAACATAATTCATAAAGTAAGTACAGGGTATGTAGTCAAAATGCACAACAAATAGTACAAAAGCAGACTAAAGTGCTGTTCATTAGAGTCTGATACCGTTTGTGCTGCAGGCATGAATGATATTTAAAATATGAAGCTTGTTGAAGCTGTTGTATAATTTTTTTAAGCGACATAATATTTTTAGAAAAGGTTTACAATGGCCAATATAATTCCAATATAGTAATAACATTTGATTGACCTGATTTTAAGATGTCTTTGTGACAATGTAATTATACAATTAAGTACCGACTACCGAGTAATAGTAATTATCAACATTTACTTAACTATAGGGTTGGGGTTAGTTGCATGTAATTATGCATAATAAAAACCATTTAGTAAATGCATATAATACTATGAAAGATGTAAACAAAATTGTTTACATTACATAAACATGTATTTTATACAGTGCAATATACAATATTAGAAAATGTGCATTATTCATTGACAAAGCAGTAGAGCTGACACCAGTCTGAAAGACCGCTTCTATTAACTGATCAAGTAGACCCATTTATTGGTCCAATATAAAAATATTTCAAGAATCTGCCTATAACCAACACACTGAAATTGTGCACTTTTGGATATGCAAACTTTTACAAAAGTTTTGTAGTAGTAGCTGTAGTTTTGCATACTGTTATTTCTCTAAACATCTGTTGGTTTAGCACAGGGGTGCCCAAACTCAGTCCTGGAGGGCCGGTGTCCTGCACAGTTTAGCTCCAGCTTGCCTCAACACACCTGCCTGGAAGTTTCTAGTATGCTTAGTAAGACCTTGATTAGCTGCTTCAGGTGCTTTTAATTAGGGTTGGAGCTAAACTCTGCAGGACACCGGCCCTCCAGGACCGAGTTTGGGCACCCCTGGTTTAGCATATGTGGGAATACAGTATAAAAGGCATTATGAATGTTGTGACATAAAATTAGAATGTCGTGAGATATTAGATTTCATAACGGCCAGCTCGAAGAATGCTCAATGGAATTTCTGCTAATATAACAGTCTGTCTGATGAAATTTCTGAATTAATTTACAGTCTTGATGGCACCTCAGGCCTGCCAGTGCTCATTAATAGAGAAGAATGTGTCGAATGAGACAGGATGACAGCACTTGTTCAGTGACACCATCTGTGGAAATTTGAAAATGTCTCTGTATGCGTGTGTGTGTGTGTGTGTGTGAAAGAGAGAGAGAGAGAGAGAGAGAGAGAGAGAGAGAGAGAGAGAGAGGGGGAGCTGCCGGAAAGCTTTTTTTGGCTACTCATCAAACACTTTGAACCCCCTGCACAAAACTAGCTCATTCTGCTTCCCATCTCAAGGATGGACGATTGACAACAAAGATGAAAGGAGGACTGTGTCAGTTATAAGAAAGTCTTGATCTGACAGGACACATTCAGCAGAAAACAAATGTATAGAGTGCTTATTTCAGTTTATATACAATTTACTTATGAAAGAGAGTGACAACCACATTATGTAAACAAAGGGAATCCCTGAAATTAACTGGAGTCGTAGTATGAGTTTGGTACAGATACGCGCATAAGAGTCGTTCTCCAAAGAGAAAACATCAAAAGCATTTCCGAAATGAAATACTGAACAGTTTAGAACTAAAATTAAACCTCCGTTGCATCCGAAATCACTTGTCCGAGTAGGTAGAATTTGAACTTCACAACCGTTCAAAAAAAAGAGCATGTTCTACTTAGTGTAGTATGAATGAAATTCGGACGTACTACAACCGCCATGTTGTTACCGTCATGTGACCTAACAGCATCAGTTTCGTCACTTTACTGCCATTCATAATTTCCTCTCCCGTGGCCTCGTGGGATAGTAAAGTGTCCACTGAATGCGCACTTCACAATCCAATGCGGAAGTACTCTACTGTTTTCTGAAAACTATGAATTTGAACATACTATTTTGTTGTACCGTTTTTTTTTTTTTTTGCCAACTATATAGTTTGGAAGTATTCACTGTGTGGTTGCTAGGCAGTTTCTGAAGAGTTTTAGTAGTTGCTAGGGAGTTGCACACCTGTTCATCCCGAACTGAAGCCGTCAGTGGCAGCTACTCCCTTTAGACAAACACTCATGACAACTACAACTCCCAAAAGCCCCAGCTCACATTTGCACAAACACAATTAGATAGATAGATAGATAGATAGATAGATAGATAGATAGATAGATAGATAGATAGATAGATAGATACATAGATAGATAGATAGATAGATAGATAGATAGATAGATAGATAGATAGATAGATAGATAGATAGATGCCCAATAAGAGTATAATTAGCAGTGGCTGGATGTCGTTTTCAAAGCACGTCTTTCCAGTGGACATACAGACAACAGCCCACACAGTTTCTCATCTCTTGAGTAAATGTGGCATGTTGTACCAGAGCTTTCTTCATGCAGTTCTCCATTGCCAATGTGCTGAGCCCGGTGCTTTGTTGACCTGTTCCTTATCATCTTGTGCTCACTGTTTATTTCTCTGTCTCTCCTCCTCCAGCTTCTACAGAAAAAGCAATGCTGCCAGAGATGGAGTGGCTGCCAAATTCCTGTGCTTAGCCATTTAAAGGTAATAATCATCAGCAAACAGCTTAATCAATGCTGTATGGGTTCTCACGGCCGCCGCACTTAACACTCGCACTGTAAATATCCATCTAACTCCTTCAGAGGTGAGCACTAGCACTTAATATTTACATATATGCTGTATAGCTGCATAAGCTGTACAACTACAATCTGCAGCCATTGAGAAATGATTCCAGTGAAAGAATGAAAACTCCTGTACAACCTTAAGCATCACTATTGCTCATATTTAGGATTAAGGATTCAAGCAACCTGTAAACATAATTTTTGACATGAATGACAGGTCAAGTTGTGCAGCTTGTTGTGTAGAGATGTGCTGCTACTTTCTGAATCGATCTGACTTGAGATTTTGCCTGGTGGACAATAGGGCTGTCAAAATGGCTGAAAAACTAAATTCGATTTTTTTTACTTAAATATGATCAAAATTCGAATTCTATTCGAATTTAAAATGCATAATTTCAGTTAGGGTGAAGAAAAGCTTTTGGCTTCTCTCCTGAGGCCACAAGAGAGCGCATCGAGCAAAATATTACTAATGCACGTTTATTCAAAGCATAAGATAACACGACTATCTGTGAAAAAAGTGCATAATGTTTAAAATAATGTTTATAAACCAATTATAATTAAGTTGCTTAAACAACTATAAACAAAACAGCATCATGTATGTATGCATAGTTTAATACAAAGTCATCGCATCTCGTGCGCCACTGATAATGCTGCCTCGTTAACGCACACATAAAATTGTGGATTTTTATTTTAAATTCGATGAATATTCTAAATTAGATTTTTTTTTTTTTGACAGCCCTAGTGGACAATATAATGGCTGAGAAAAAGAATCCTACAGACTTATATTCACAGAGGGACCCAAGCTGTATAGAGCCTTGGGGATGGGAATTTTTATACTTAGGCACCTAGCAACACTCCGAATAACTGCATAGCAACACACACACACACACACACACACACAAAACACTCTTGGTAACCATATAACAATCTTCTGGCAACCACTGATAACACCTTAGTATTGTAACATCAGCTCTTTCACAGAAAATCATCACTCACGTTTAATAAAAAATGTTCAAACCTATTTCCTCTTTGTTGTTTATATATCAAAATGACATATTTATAAGCTATTATATATAATGTTTGTTATTGTGGTATAAAATTGAGTATGGGAATATTGAAAGCCATTATACACAAAGTATATGTTTTTTTTAAGTACATTTTTACAGAAATAATATACTTTAAAATAGTATACTTACAGTAAGTGCTTAACTGAATGTATTGTTTTTGCACACTTAAATGTGTGGTATTTAAGCACATTAAATGAAATTGTATTATAAATGCATATTAAATGCAATTAGTTAAGAGTGGATTTTAACACACTTAAGTACATCTTTGTGTAGTTTCATAATTACTTCTATTGTCTATGAAAGATGGTTAAAGTGTACTGCTGCTGGATGTACTGACATTTAAACCTTTATGGTAAATTAAACTATACATGGTCATTTCTATTAAAACTTGTACGTCATGTATTTAAATATATATTTGTGATTACACATTTGTAATGATGAAGTCTACTTTAAATATAACATTAAGTAACCCACTACAGTCAAAGTCAAGTACTTTGAATGTGCTTTGTTAATAAACTTTTTAACATGACATTACTACAAAGTACACTTTTTAAAAGTGTACTTAAGTGTGTCTTAAGAAATACAGTCATTAATGTGTACTTTAAGTGCCCTTTTATTTCATTATATTATCTGAAAGTCCAGTATTTAAAAAAATATACTTTAAAAAATTGAAGTACACTAAAAGTACGCATTCAATACAAGGAAGCACGCCTCTTATTTACAAGGGTAGTTCGCTTCCTAGCGCAGGTAATCCTAATGTTTGTATTTGTGCAGTGAAAAAGCCATTACCCTT